AATGATATTTGATATCCCTACGCTGCGTGTATCTTTTATACGGATCAAAATATCTACAAATATTTTGAAAAATATTTTTTATAAACTTTAGATGATACCACCTATACCAATTTCTACTTATTTTATAAAAATTAGATATAAAATAATAGTGTGGCGCCAGGGGATTAAAAGTCCGCACGGCAGCCAAAGGGATAAGTAAGTAATAGTGCTTAATAAAGATTATCTATTGAAAAAAAATGAGATTTATTGGCCAATCTAATATATTTCAATCAAATATATTATTGTCTAAGTTTAGATGATTTCAATCAGTTTCAATCAGGGAATCTAGATCAGAAAATTAATAACTTTCTTTAAGCAAATCGAAATTATAAACCGCATTTTGCAAAATTTGTAATATAGGAATATTTATAAATTTGTAATAATAATTTATAATCAAAATTGATTGAACTATTTTCAACTTTCTGCAATTTTCTTTCTTATCCGATTTACTTTAATCGATTCCCTCTTTCTTTAGGCTACATTTCCATGGGTTAAAAAGGTTTTTATATCCAGGTAATACGCGCGATAAGAGGCGATACGGTAGATAATTATCTCCCAAATATTATCTATCTATTATTCTTAAAAACCGCGGATTGATTGGCTACCGCATTACTTTTTTATCGCGCAAGGCACGATGTCATATTCTTTCTGACGCGTGTGCAAGAACCGTAAGTTATTTAACTACGCATATTGCGCTGCTCAATTTGTATCTTACTTGACATCGACTGCTCCTCATCTTACATCGAGTTACATCTAATTTTATCATTCAAATATCCGTAAGTTAATTTTCAGTAATATTAATCGACAGCTATCAATCTCGTATTATCTGAAATCTATGTACTTTCATTGTGGAGTTTCCTTCTTACAAATGTCTGAGGCGTTTGTAATATTTCGTATTAGTATCACGTCATACAATTCGTATTAAATTATTTGATAATATTAGAAATATACGTATATATGAGAAATGGTTTATAAAAGTTTCACGTTATTCATTTTTTTAATAGACAGAGCTTTCTAAAGAGAGCTCCATTCGTTGGGTGGAACTATTTAAGCTTCAATATGTTACTGCGTTGGCTTGAGTACGGACAGAAAACATACTAATATAAAGCGCACAAACATTTTATATACAATAAAATAAAAGTTATTTCACAATACATTTGTATTTTATCGCTAAAGTATAAACATTATTTTAACTTTCATTCTTTTATGTCATAAATAATCATTAATATTTCATTTAATTATACTCATAAAGTTTTGCTATAACATATTTTCTAAGAGAAATCACGGAAATTTAAAAAAGTATCTAATGCGTTATCAAAAATTTATAAAAAATTATTTTATTAAAATTTCTTGATATAAATATAAAAAAATCGATAACATATTGCAAAAATATCTGAAAAAAATATGATAAGAAATAAATAACATAAAGCAATAAAGTTAAATATAATGACAAATTTTGAAAATAATTATATGGAATTGGATACAGTAACTGAGAACTATAATTTAGTGTTTTAGATAAATATTCTCATTTCCAAAATATTATAAATTCAATCAAGTATGCGATAGAAAAAAAACTGAACAAAAATTTCTTATTTCCGAAATGAATACAGCAAGATATTTCCGAAACAGTTAATATAATAAAAAAACTATCTGAATAAATTATTTTAATAACGATAATTTGTTAAATTTAAGTAAAAAATTCTTATATAAGTAATCGCAATTCAGATTTCAGTCATAAGCAATTAAAATTCAATTTGAGTGGAATTACACTTGTAAATTTATACAGTCTTGTGCAAATTAATGTGAACATTAATGTAAAATCTAAAAGTAATTAATTTTTAGATTTATATATATGTTGTTACACAAAATACATTTAATACGTAAAAAGAGTTTGTACTTTATTACAATATTTTTTTAGCAAAAAATATTTTGTATTTATGTTAAAAACGGTCCACTCAAATTCTTTATTAACTTTTTGAGTTGTCATTTTTAGCATATTTGAGTGTTAATTTAATATAATGTAGTTATGTTATTTAAATATTTCGTGTTAAATTCAACATATGTGATATTCAACATTTCTTGGTGTCAAAATAACACAATTTATGAGTAAGTAAACAAATAACATATAATATAATATGTTTTAAAACTTAAAATTCTAACGTAAATGAATAAAATACATGTTAATTTAACATAAATGTTAATATAATTGAAAAAATATGCTTTCACAGCTTACAAATTGTCAGTGTTATTTTTTTGTGCTAATTTTTTATTATAATATTTATGTTACTTTCTAGCATATTCATCTTATGTTAAATTAACACAAAAATTTAAGTAAATCGTTTGGGACATGTGAAATGTGTTAAATATAACAAAAATTTTCCAACAGTGTACAAATTTAGTCTAAATTAATATTTCTTTTAATATATCTTCCAAAAATATTGTAATAAGCATTATAAATCATTTTCATGTAATGAATGTATATAAATCTAAAAATTAACTCTTGTTCATATTAATTTGCACAAGACTGTAGCTACTGTAGAAATCCGACTTGTTTACATGGTCGAGATCCAGCATTCTTAAAATAGATCTAGAACATTTTTTATAGCGAAAATGAACGATTATGATTAACGGACATGAATGAGTGTGACAACGCGGTTGTTTTGCCCGAATGTTTGACCAAATGATAAAAGATAGAACTATATTCGTTGATTTATATTTCATCAATATATATTTCTCCTTTATTCATATTTGTTCGCATTTTTTGCTTGGACCGGACCCATCTTAAGGTACTTTACATAGACGATACATGTAAAATACATTTTGCCTCGTCGTTGCATGTATATTTCCCTCACTATGTATGCACTTTTCAAATCTCAACGATCAGTTTTATTATGTATGACATTCATTGATCTTGTTTAAATTGCCAATGCAGACTTCGTCATCTTATTGTTTTTGTATACATGTATACGTGTGTATAAGCAAGTGTTAGTGTATACGTACAAGTTTATGAATGCATGTAATTCTCACTGTGTGTTTATATGCTTTTTTTTCTTTGTTTTTCTTTATCTGTTATTCATATAAGCTATCTGCTTGATAGGCATTAGAACGAACATAACTATATTGATGCCTCACCATTTGCGTATTCTCATCCTCATTCCCATGTATAATAACTTGTATGTAAATCATGTTCGCACACAACAATAAAATGAAATTAAAATAAATTTGTTACGAAATACAATCGTATCCCTTAATTATATATATTAATTATTCATCTATTATTCATTTTTATTAATTAGCTTAGCTAATTTCGTTTTTAACTTATGATGCGTAAGTACTTTGTAATTTATAAATCATTATAAAGTAAAACAAAATTTATGTCCAATATTTGTGTTCGTGTATAAAAGTTCAAGATTTTGAATAAATCACACAACATTTACTTTAATTCTTTATGCATAAAATAAAAGACATACAAAATGTGTAATAACGGAAGAAAAGAAATAGTATGCAAAAAAAAGCAATAATCTGACTTATGTTAGTTTGTCATCAAAGCATTCAATATCAAACTTGTTATTAATAAATAAAATTTCTCAAATTACTTATTCATAAAATTTATTGAACTATCTAAAGCGTGCAATAACGACTGTTTATATCGGAACAAATGGAGACAAGTAAAACTTTTTTTTATTCTTCAAGAACCCATTGATCACACTTTATATAACAAACAAAATTACAACAGTTAAAAAATATTTTTAATTATGTAGATAAAAATCAGTAGACATCATACAACAAAATTCGATAATTTCAAATTTCAACTTTAAATGCGTGTAAATAAGTATAACAGAGACTTTTTCCAAGTTGTTTCGTATTATTTAGATAATTTTTAAATAAGTATGTAAAGTTGAATTAAATTTTATTGTTTATTATTTAATTTTCTTAATGCACTATATTTACTTTTATATTATTAAGCAATTGCATTGCAATAATTGTATTTGATAAGTGCTACGGTTCGACAAAAGATGGAAAACTATATAATTATATAATTTGAAATGTCGAAAACTTATGTATGAAAAAATAATAAAAATATAATATAATTGTGCTAATTGTGCGATTCAATAGTGTAATAATTTTCATCGAGTTCGCACAATTAGCATATATATATATATATATATATATATATATATATATATATATAAGGTTATCATTTTACACAGATATTTTATATATAATAGACGCTTTTATATGTATTTTCTTATTTAAAATCATAAATAAAATCAAATTTAAACATTCTAAACTTTTTATTATACATATAATTACGATAAATATCAATATAAATTAAAAAATTTAAATATATACTTCAACTTGCAATAATGTGTTTTAATTTATTAATAAAACAGTTAAAACAGAATAAGCCAAGCCTAAAAATAGCCAGTCATGCAACAAAAATGTGATTAGCTACATTGTAAATCTTAATGAAGTGGTAACTATGTCTATAAAGGTGCGCGTAACTGATTCTGAATACGTAAACTCCACTGTGTCAATGTTTAACTTTAATTACTTATAATACTGAAACTGTTGCGATTTTGATACTCTTGTTAAGATTTTTTAAAACATTAATTTATCTTCTTAAAAATGCTAATAAAATAATTTATTTAATATTTCCTATAATAGCAAAATCACTTTTACTTCTTTATTAATGGGTATAATTCTATTATATAA